TCTTCTTTCTGGGTTCATTTAAGCAGATACTTAAAATTTCAACATGGAGTTTCCTTATTGCATTGCAATGAACTTCATAATCAATTCATTAATATCTACCTATTCAATTCAGTTTATTTCTACAGTATCTGTCTGTCTGTCTGTCTGTCTGTCTGTCTGTCTGTCTATCTATCTATCTATCTATCTATCTATCTATCTATCTAAAAAAAACTGTTGCTCAATGGTTCAGTTTTTCTTTTCAGATTAGTAGAAATTAATTTTGCATTTCATTAGGAATTCCAGGGACTGGGAGAAGAGAAGACAGGCACAGAATTCAACTTGCTTGTTGTGTTTCCACAGTCATTGATGATTTGTGGAGAAATGTCATCCGCTACTGTTGGTCCACTCTTTCTTATCAAATCCAAAGTCAGCACCACTGTCTGCTGACAAGCTTTATGGAGATGCTATTAATTTTCCTGTCACCTGAACACATCTTGATATTATTTTTGTGTACAACCACCACTGATAATATGTCTGCAGTTCAGTCTGGGGTAGGACTCTACCAGATTTCAACATCTATTGACTAAATTTGACTAAATCAGTCCTCTTTGCAAAACAACTCAGGCTCAAGCTTCAGATGGAAAGCATCTTTTAGCACCAGTTTTCAAGTTTTTCCACTAATTCTCAAATGGATTTATTTCTGGACTTTGACTTGGATGTTTTATTGCATCTCTGGCTGAATGTTTGGGCTCTTTGTCCATGGTGAACATCAAGTCCCAGCCTCGTACTTGAAGAGAAACAGTGTCTGTATTCAGAACGCCGTCAATCGGTACCAGTTTATATCAGATAATATATAAATAAATAACTTGTAAAACCTTCACAGTGGAAATAGTTGTTTTTTTATGGTCGAAATGCTCCACCTGCTGGTCACAGATGACAAAATCGGAGGAAAACACTTCTTGAATTAAATCCCGCGATATCACACCAAACGAGACTTGTGGACGTTCTTTTCCCTTGGATCATCGGGCAAGATGGTAGGTATCCGTGCTAGAGCAGTGGTTGTTAAACTGAAATCCTTTCCCATCTGAGCTTTTACGTTGGTGGTTGGGGAGCCTGGTTGTACCGTCTAACCTGGGAAGAGTTTCGTTCACGTTGTAGCTGAAAATTGTTTCTGAAAATGTCAGATAAAGTTGCACATAAGGGCTTTGTTTTAGCCTTAGCCTAGCCCGACTTTGCTCGCCTAAGCCGATAGATAAGCGCACTTTTTAAATGTAGTTTAAAGTAAATAGTGTTGTAAACTGTCTAAGCGGATTTTGAAGTTGTCCATTTAGTGTTTCATGATGGATAATTATATATTTGTAAGATATTAATGCCCGTCCAGTGATGAATGCTAACCTGTTTAGCCACACTCACTGGAGTGATGTTCGTCTGTTTCAGGCGGACACAGAGATCAAGAAGAAGCGTACCTTCAGGAAGTTCACCTACAGAGGTGTGGACCTTGACCAGCTGCTGGACATGTCTTAGTAAGTGACGCTGAGTTACACTTCATGTCAAAAGTGTTCCGTGAAGAGTTGATGGTGTCTTCGCTGTAATCACGGTGGAACCGAAGTCAAGCTCCTTATTTGTGCGGAATCTTAATTAAAGATCAGGGATTTGGTCCAACATATGTTAAGTTGAAATGGAGAACTGGTCATTTGGTTTGATAGACAACTATAAAATATATGTTTATCTTTTCTCCAACAAAATGTTTTGCACGTAATCCCACAGCAGCTTCATTTTTAGTCTGTATGTCCTCAGTTCCTGGCATGTCCTGTTATTGTCTTATGTGTTCCTGGACCTATGGAACCGACCTGCAGTCAGGCTTGTTCATGTGAATTTAAGCAGAAAGGTGTCTAGAAGTTGCAGGACACTGCCCCCCTGAGGTCAGTAGGTTGTGACCCAGGCCTTACAAAATCTAGATCCTTACCTACCAACATTCCTAAGTCCAGCATGTTCCATAACAGGTCGAAAGATCAATAAGAAAATATTATATTTTTCAGCATCGACCTCAGCCTTTCTGTTGTCTCTCAATCTTTGAGGTTGAATGAACCAGACATGTAGAATCTAGTCTCTTTCTTTTGGCTTCCTGCGTCTCTGTGCTTCATCTGATTCACTTTATACAACAAACTGCACTGATATATTGTCAGCTCGACCTTCAGTATGACATCAGTACTTTGAGTTTCTAACAAACTGGTCTCTATTTTGGACCGATTAATCGGTCGATGTCAGATTTTTCTAGAACGGGGAAATAATGGGCGCTTATCACACCGATCGCTTCGAGCTGTGATCTTTCAACTGGGGAAATTGGACCTTTCTTTTGTAAAATCTATTGTCTTGATCATCCTGTTGAAATATTTGAAAAAATGTGCAGCTACGATCCAGAGTCAGGAATCGAAGGCCGGACTAGGGATGTATGATCCACTCTTTTCACATCTGAGGTTTAGTATCGGCTGATACCGATTCGATACAGAAAATCAGTGCTGACTGACTTAAAACTTTTTTCTTTTTTTTTTTTTAGACGAAAGTATTGAACTACAAATGTATATAATTTTGCACCAGTACAGCACACTTTCATACACCAACTGCTTCACATTCTTGGTCAAACATGTAAAAACACCTTTAATTTGCTCAGTCAGTGCAATTAGGAGTGTAACAGCCAATGTAAAATAAATAAGTCACTCAGAGCACAAAGTATAGAATTGGACTAAATAGATCTTCCCTTATGGATCAGGCACATTGTCACTGATACAGATATTAATATTGTGTGGGTGCATTTCTGCATATGAGCGCCCTGCATAACCATGTACCGACATGACCTGTGTTTCAGTGTGTACTTGCTGCCAGTGTCTCACTCCAGCTGTGTGTGTTGTTTGTACAGTGAGCAACTGATGCAGCTGTACTGCGCCCGCCAGAGGAGGAGACTGAACCGGGGCTTGCGCCGCAAGCACCAGTCCCTCCTCAAGCGCCTGCGCAAGGCCAAGAAGGAGGCTCCTCCAATGGAGAAACCAGAGGTGGTGAAGACCCACCTGAGAGACATGGTGATCCTGCCTGAGATGGTGGGCTCCATGGTGGGGGTGTACAACGGCAAGACTTTCAACCAGGTGGAGATCAAGGTGAGGGAGAAGGGCTCCATGAGTCACACTCAGTTCTATTGATTACTCATTGACAGTCGGATGTAAAAAAGGGGCAGATTTTTTTTGTTCCACCACTTAATATTATTTTGTATATTAGAAATATGTCTGAAAATGCAAATAATTCATTTTTTTTAAAATAAGAAACATACAAGTTCTTGACTAAAATGCAATAACAGCATTCCTTTAATATCTGCAATTAATGAAATATGTTTAACTTCAATAATATGTGAATAGCTTGGCTTATTACTGGGTAGGGCTGATGTGTTGACTATTTTTAATTAATTAATTGGATAGCAAAGGAGCTTAATAGATTTCATTTTCACAGAATTTGAATGAGGTGAAGTTAAAACTGCCAGTCCTGCATATTAACTCAGTTAAGCACTGAGGGTTTCAGTAGGTGTATTGGCTGATAGTTGAGCATATCATATTTACTATCTTCGACTGAATGTTCACTGAAGAGTGAAACTGCTCCTCTTTCCTGTGTTTGAATCCATTGTGTGCTTTAATGTGAAAGCCTTTATTCTGACTGGATTTCCTGTCTCTCCACAGCCTGAGATGTGTGGTCATTACCTGGGAGAGTTCTCCATCACCTACAAGCCGGTCAAGCATGGTCGCCCTGGTATCGGAGCCACACACTCTTCTCGTTTCATCCCCCTGAAGTAAAATGGTTGTATTGTTTGTATAAATAAAACCAAAAATGAGCTGGGCTTCTCCACACAACTGCAGTGTCTGGCTGTATTTGTTCACTCTTTCTGGGTTTTTGTAGGCTCTTAAAAAGTGTCGGGCCTTAAATCTTAAATAAGGCCACATTTTCCTTCTGAGTTTCTGAATGGCCTCTTATGTCATATTTTATTAATTGCTCCTTTCATTGACTATATTTAGGACAATTTTGGTGCCATTCACTGGATACATTAGATATATGGCTGACAAAACTGCTAAGCTCTGTCTAAAGAAATTTAAAAACAAAAACCAACCAGCCATTATGAAATCAATCCTTCAAAACACAGGCAAAGTTATACCAGTTATAAGGTAAAACACATTCCATGGATTAAGTTCATTTTGCTTTAATTCTTCACCAGGGGAAACGAGTATGCTGCCAGCTAAGTGGAATTTTTGTTTAGGATCGACATAGGTATAAAATTTATTTCAGAATGGTGTTTGAAAAGGTTTCCTATTGGATTGCGCAGAGATGGAGCGGCCGAAGCTCCCAAGTCTTCGACGCAGTCGTCCGGGGTTCGATTATCGACTCTGGTACACTTGATGCATTTCTTCTCTACATATTTCCAGTCTGACTAGCTTCAAATAAAGGCCATTACTATCGGAAAGCTTTAAAATAGAAGGAGCTGTAAGGAAACGGGCTGATACAGTAATGGAATCATTCAGAGGATTCAATGCTGAATCTTCCGAATGCGATACATTTAAAATCATAGAGATGATGAAACCTATTATAAGATTAGAATAGCCAATGTATCTCAGCACATGTTCAAGAAGTTATAGTTATTTAAAAGTATTGCTTAATGTTTTTATATACATTAAACTGGTAATCTGGATTGATTTGAACATGTAAAGGAAAAAGAAAAATATACTTTAATGCCAGAGGAGAGATAAAAATTGTTTCCAGCAGCTTTCTGCAGAAGAAAAGGCCAGTTTCACTGTAACTCAGATGTTACCGACATCCTGTAGTGTTTATGGGTTAATCTCTGTATAAAACAGGGGGTTAATGAAGATTTACGATGAAATTTATTTCGGGTGTGACCATTCCTCAGATTAGAATGTTAAAAAGAGTTTCATCTAACTGAACATTCACAACGGGCTTCAATTTGAGCGGTGCGCCTGGGAAAAAGTACCGATGTGTACTCTACCGGGAGCAACGTTCCTCCTTCCCGATCTGTGAGCCAGCTGCATCTTGTGTGGCTGTTTCGGCCATGGATTCAACCTTTAGCAGTCGCGAAACCTGTTTGACACTGAGCTAATAGTGTGTAATAACCGCTTTAAGGAGCTGTAGCCACGCTGGTAAGTGCAGGGGGTAAATCTTAGTCTGTACCCAAATGAAGCTGGACTGGAATGGGTTTTCTTCGAAAGCGCTGCCGCTACTTAGCGGCTACCAGCTCCGATAGCTAGCTAGTTAGCTTGAGAACGAAAGTGACAGAGGAGGAGAGTCCTGTCAAAACGGAGCGAAGGAGGAAAACTGATTAATTCCTGTTTCTCACAACTGTGGCTGTCAGCGGTTACTGTGAAATGTAATATCGGTTCTGTTAAAAAAAAAAAAAATACCTGAACAGCCAACTATGTGTTGCCGGTGTTATTCAAGATTTGCAATCTGAGAACAAAGCTCCATTGTAGGCTAGCTAACCAACAGACCCCTGTGTAGTTCTGTTCCAGCCGGGGTTTGTTGTACATTGAGCCCAAATGTTAGCACATATAAGACGGAACTAAGTGATCTTTGTTATGTACAAATGTTTCGGTTTAAAAATGCATTTTTTTTTAATTATTTTTTGAAAAATCAACGTTAGAGACGCACTGTCTCCTATAAGGCTACATAATTAATAGTTCTTAAAAACTAACGCATTTATGTTTTTTTCTGTCAAATCTGGAATTAAATGTTTGAAGCCAGATGAGTTGTTGTAGACCAGACTGACTTTGGTTAAATCGGTGCAGATTGTCTCCACTGTGAATCAGTTTTTTGAGGAAGGGGACACTTCATAGCAGTCAACTGTACTTACCAACAGCAAGGTAAGACAGGAGCATTAGTGGGTCAGAGCCTCAGTTTTTCCCCACGTTTGTGCGTCATGCTGGTCTGACTCACATCTGAGTGAACTAGCTGATTTCAGCTTACAAACGCTGTGCTTTTTGTCCGTACAACATCTTTATTTGTCATGCATTATAATGTTCTGTTAACAGGTTACATATTTGGGATCTGAGGTGCTGAACGGTGAATGAATAGAGGAAAGAAGGTGAAGCGTTGTGAAAAGAAAGAGGGCATCACGAAAAGGTAGAATATTTCCGAATCTCCTCAGGATTCAGTGAGCATTGAGTTTGTTTACCCAATGCTCACTGGTTCCTGGTATCGTTGCTGCAGTTGTTGGACTGTGAGCATGATGGCTGTTGATGGCCTGTGGGACAACACAGAGGTGGTGGAGATGGGGGACGTGCCATCTCAGTTCTTTGTGGAAAAACACTCTTGGGAGGGCCTGCGTGACATCATCCACTGTAGCAGGAAATACTCGGGAATGATTGCCAACAAGGCCCCCCATGACTTCCAGTTTGTGCAGAAGACTGATGAGAACGGGCCCCACTCCCACCGGTTGTATTACCTTGGTAAGTCTAAAAACCTGTGATCTGCTTTGAGTTTGTGTTTTTTAAAATTTCTGTGTCTGTGTTTTTTCTCTTTATTGAATATTTTTGTTTTTCTGATTGCAATGTAATGTGGAAAAACAGTCACTGTGTTGTGTTTCATATTTTGACTTCAGTAGAGGAATTGCATTGAGACTTTTCTTCTACTTGTTTCCAGGAATGCCTTACGGAAGCAGAGAGAACTCCTTACTCTACTCAGAAATCCCCAAGAAGGTCCGGAAGGAGGCGCTCTTAGTGTTGTCATGGAAACAGATGCTCGATCACTTCCAGGTGACTTTTCCATAAGGCTGAACAGTCTGCTCATAAAGTCTTAATTTTGCATTATATTTGATTTTCAGAGGAACTGTGCTAATACTATCAATAGAACAATTATAGTAAGAATACATGTACATTACTGCCTACATATTCATGTTATCAACCTTGCAACCTCCAAAATCATATAATAAAAGCTCTGTATTAAAATATAAATGAATTGTAAATCAAAATGCAGTAAAAATACAAACCTTTTCCTCCCTACATATTCATTAACAGCCAAATTTACATAAATGTCCTTGCTTGTCCTCAGTACCTTCACATCCTCACACATTCAGCCAACACACTAAAAATTGCAGATATAATACTAATTCATTAACACATACACTCCCACACAAACGTTATCATCCTTTAAATCTGAGCTTTAAGAATGATCACATCTTTGATTTTTCTTTAGCCAAGATTTAGTCATGTGCACAAACTTTTTAAGTTCAGGTGTAACATTGTAACGTATAAAAAAGTGTTCTGACCAAACAAGGTTCTACAGTTCTGTTCTGACCATCCTCTAGTGACTGTAACTGTTTTGCCTTTGTATAAATAAACGTAATGGATCAGGAACTAACTTTATTGATACATGTAAAAAATAATTTAAGAAAACATAAATTAGAATAGCTTTCAAAAGTTATGTTTGTCCAGGATTAGGCAGGAATGAGATCTTTTTGTCCCTTACTTTTATTGTTTGGTTATACAGTGATACAGTGAGACTGTTAGGTTACTTGCAGTAGCCTGGGCCCATGTTGTCATACAGGATGACATGTAAGAAAATACATATACCAAAGAACAGCTTTTACAGGAATATAAGACCTTATTAAATTGAAACAATGAAGGTTATTTATTTTTTATTCTTTGGAAATGTTGTTTATATGATTTTCAAATTTTAGATGTGGGTGTAAAAACAGGAAAGATCTCCTGTAGCGGTCTGTATTACAGTGAATTTGAAGAATCCTCTGACTGAAGACTCTGTTTTTATAAGAAAGGAAGAGGATGGTTCAGGATTATTGATAATTTTTTTAATTTTATGAAGAATCTTTCTTTGCATCATCATCACCAGAGGTTCCACAGTTGTCGCCAGAACAGAACCAGAACAGAACCAGCCTTCTTTATCAGTTTGTTGAGCTTTTTTAGGTCCCTGGTTCTGATGCTGCTGCTCCAACAGATAGAGTAATTTTGCTTAGGGATACATATTCATACATATACCGTACACATATTCCTGAATTGAATGACAGAAACGTCAGCACATGTTATAGTTTTCATGGTTTCTTGCATAAAATTTTTAAATGGAAAACAAAATGATGACGGTAGAGTTTGTCTGAGTCGGCGTCCTTGGACATCAGACCTCAGTGAAAACCGGAAATGTTAGAATAAACCAGTAAAAACCTGATCTGCTCCTCTCTACTCATGAGAAAGAAACTAAAACTGACAAGCTTCCTAAAGAGAGAAAAGTTACAAACAAGTAACTAAGAATGGATTCCAAAATGTGCTGCTACTCCTAAGCCGAATATTATGGGGTGTGATGCTGCAGGTGTCAGCTGTTTGCTGAACTACATAAAGCTTCTTGGTAAGAAGCAGCTAGCAGCATGACAGAAGGATGGTTTTGTTTCTGTTTCTCCTAATTATTGAAGGTGACAGATTGTGGAGCTGTGTGGTGTCGTTTTGATTAGGACTCAGTGGTTGTGTGTGTAAATGTCAGCGATTGTGTAGTCTGCCTGCTGTGTGCTTTAGGGCTCAGCTGATAACAGTTGTATCTGTCTGCCTCGTCTTCATCACCTCATCTGGTGAGACAGTAGTCTCATCTGTCTCACCAGATGAGACAATAGCCTCATCTGCAGCTATGAGACTATTGTCTCATCTGGTGATGAGACAGATGAGACCAGCTGTAAAATAATCAGCTGGTTATATTTTACATATAAAGCAAACTTTAAAAGAAATTCAGTAGTGAATTGAAAAGGAGTAGTGAATTGAAAAGGAGCTTACTTTTAGTTTCCTCCTGCATCTCCTAGGCGACTCCGCACCAAGGGGCTTACTCTCGAGAGGAGGAGCTGCTGAGAGAGCGGAAGCGTTTGGGAGCGTTTGGGATCACGTCGTACGACTACCACTATAAGATGGGCCTGTTCCTGTTCCAGGCCAGCAATAGTCTCTTCTACTGTCAAGATGGAGGCAACAACGGCTTCATTGTGAGTACATCGCTTCCATTTAACTTAAAGAACAATTATTACATCTGCATCATGCAGCAACAAACTTTCATGGGTTTTTCTTTTTTTTTTTTTTTTTTTTTTTTTTATTTTTTACGGGGTGGCCCAACAAAAGGAACACAACCACCAGGGGAATTTTAATTGG